AATCAAGGCGAAGATGTAAGGGCTAGCCGACCCCTGGTGGAGTCCGATTTCCACCAGGAATGCCTCGGTGTTACCAACTGTAGTCCTGGCGTATGAAGTAGATCTACAGTACATATCACGAATCACCCGGATATAAGCAGTTGAGATCCGTCTCATTGCCAAGGTCTTCCATATAGTATCGCGGGGAACGCTATCATACGCCTTCTCAAGGTCAATGAATGGCATGTGAAGATCAATATTTTTTTCCTTATATTTCTCCATAAGTCGTCGAAGTAGATGAACCGCCTCCATAGTAGACATGTATGGCATAGAGCCAAATTGGTTTTTCGAAACCCTAGTAACTTGTCTCAACCTAGCCTCTATCACCATTTCCCAAAGCTTCATAGTATGGCTTAGTAGTTTAATACCTTTATAGTTGCCACAACGTTGGGGATCTCTTTTATTCTTATAGATTGGTATCACCGTAGACTCTCTCCACTCCTTTGGCATCTTGACAGTCTCTAAAATAATATTAAAGATATTGGTCAACCACTTAACTCCCTCTCCTCCTAGGGCCAACCAAACAATTATTGGAATTTGATCTGGACCGACAGCTTTGTCCCTCCCCATCTTTCTAAGAGCCATTTTGATTTCCTTAAACCCAATCATACTTGTAGGGCAGTCATTGGCTGTAGTATGATGGCCAGCTGACCCATTAACGGTACTATTTCTACAGGGAGATGCACCGTCATTAAATAAGCCAAAGATATAACTACCCCAAACACTCTTAATATCATGATCTTTCACTAAAAGAACTTCATTATTATCCTTAATAAATCTAATGCTACCTAGATCCTTTTTGCTATTCTCCCTGGATTTTACTAGCCTGAAGATGTCATTTATTCCTTCCTTAGTGTCTAATCTCTTGTACATTTCCTCGTATGCCTTATCCTTTGCTTTAGCCACCATTTTCTTTACTTCCCGTTTTGCCTCCTTGTATCTTTGTTGAGATCTCGATCTTTCTTCGTCACTATTGCATTGTAGATACTCCTTGAAGTAAGTTTGCTTTGTCTTCACCTTAGTTTGGACTTCGTCGTTCCACCACCACGATTCTTTATGCTCCTTGACCTTCCCTGTCGACAACCCAAGGGTGTTTTTGCCCACCTCTCTGATGGAATTTGCCACATTTTTCCATAACATATCTGCATTATTTGAGTTTGGAGTTCCAAAACTTGTATTAGACAAAACCTTACTCCTAAAGTCACCAGCTGTCACTCCATGTAAGTTCTTCCAAAAGATCCTAGGTTTACCAATTTTAGCCCTCCTATGAGCGCTCCGCCCGTGGCGTACGTGGAACACCAAAACCAACAATCTGTGTTGTGATGCATATGCCTCTTCAGGGAACACCTTACAGTCAATGTAAGCCCATCGATCCCGATTTCGAACCAGGATGTAGTCGATTTGGGTACAATTTCCCCCCGCTATGGAACGTAATCAAGTTCACATCTCTCTTATTAAAGAATGAGTTAGTGACCACCATATCATGTGCAGTAGCAAAATCAAGCAACGTATGCCCCTCCTCGTTCCTACTACCAAAACCGAAACCCCCATGAACACCGTCATACCCGTCGGTTGCACTACCTATATGACCATTGAAGTCTCCCCCTATGAAAACTCTTTGGTCCTCCAGAATGCTCCTAAGTACATCATCTAACTGATCCCAGAAGCAACGTTTTCCCCCCTCCCCTAGGCCAACGTGTGGGGCATACACTGAAAGGATATTTACCACTTTCGCTTCTATAATAACCTTAATCATCTTGATCCTATCTTTGTATCTACAAACTTCAACTACATTTTCCTTGAGCTTAGAGGATACCAAGTACCCACTCCATTTCTAGCGTTATCTATGCCTGAATACCACAACTTGTACCCATTACACTCTCTGGCACGAGCCCCTTTCCACCTAGTCTCCTGAATACATGCAAAATCTAATTTCCTATTACTAAGTACGTCGGTCAGCTCCAGCAGCCTAGCATTTAATGTGCCTACATTTAACGAACAAACTCTAAGTCTAGTTTCCTTGACACCACTCTGTCGAGGCCTCCCCCTAAACGCCCTATGAGATCTAAAAGAAGGACATGACCTCAAGTAATCATCTATAGTCGAAGTTATGAGGAACTATGAAAAAGGAATCCAAAGAAGACAGAAGATGCACCAAATAAAACACTAGAAATATAAGATACTAGGAGTCTAGGACAATGAAAAAAAACAGATCCAGTAAATCCTACTCAAAAGAAAAGTACAAAAATATAGATCCAGTAGATCATACTCAAAGCAAAACTGCTTTTCAAGTAAATAACAAATTCTATGGAAGTTTAATTTTTTCAAGGTTCCACTTCCTTACCTCCAAGAAGAGGTGAAATCTTCGAATTTTCAAAAAACGAATCAATGGATCTCACCTAATTTAACGACTAACGATATAAAAAGATGAGAAAAAGGGGGAAATCGAAATGGAGAACGGAATGCAAAGAGATCTGTTTCTGGTTTATTAATAAGTTTATTTAATGATTAGTAATACTGAGGAAAAATTTACAGCCTTACAGGGAGATGCAAATCGAGTGTAAATCTGGGGAAAATTTGGCACATCAGATTTAGATTTAATTTTCAAACAACGCAAGCATAAAATACATCTACAGATTACTATTACAAAATAATAAAACCTAAATAATAAGTAATATGATGTAAAGTAATAAACATAAAAAGCAACAAACTCAATTTTAAAGACTCAACTGTGTGATTCAGGAGAATATGAAGTATAATCCTGCTCGTTCAAAATTCAACACAGGAAAAAAATGAGAGAACTTTCAGATCTATAAGAGAAAATAACAAAAGAAAACAAAACTACTAGTGAAGTACAAAAAATGAAGATTCAAGATCTGCGATCAGATCTGAAACAGGAAAGAATAATAATGAAGAGAAAATTACTTAAAAGCCAGAAACAAATCATATAAAGAGCAGAGCATAAAAGCGAAAAAAGAAACGAAAATTCAACGACTTAACCGTCTAGAAGAATGTACTACAAAAACATAATTGTTCTTATTAGAAAACTAAAAAAGAAAAAAATATAATTATCTATTGACAATCAATATCAAAACCGATGTCGCCACCTTCTAAACAAAATCAAAGAATAAAAAATTAATTTGATCTTTAAAAATCAATAGACTTCAAAGAAAAAAAAAGGACAAAGTAACTGTGAAGAGAGTGGCTTTGGAGAAAAAATACCTCCTAAAATTATATAATTTCATATCCCCTAAATTTTTAATATAACAAATTAAAAAATTATAATCTCTAGTGTAAAATCTTATACATCGATAAAAAAATAATCAAGTGGGCACCATGATAAATGAATTATTATTTTTTGAGGATTTATGTCCGAGTATTATATATAATAGAATTATAAACTTTCCATGTTAAAAGATTAAAAAGTTATGTTTTAACATATAGCTTATATTTATATAAAAAAATCTTAATACATCCCTATTAAACGTTACGTTAGAGAGTCAAAGTATTGGTCGTACAGTAGTTTTGACGAAATGAACACCAATCCTGCTCCAACGTACTAGGAAAAGGATTTGGTGTCACCCCCCTCACATGTCACGTGTCTCCATGTTTTATTTATTTATTTATTTTGATAATAACCTATTTTATTTTTTTAATGCCATACAAATTCTAAATTTACTGAATTTAACATTCATCTAGGGATGGCAAACGGGTGTGTTGGATGCGGATATCCCCTCTCCTATCTTCATACTCACCTAATATTTTTAAATCTACAACTCTCGCACCACCCATGATAGATAAATTTTTCAAATCCATACTAGCCCACACGGGTACATTCGCAAATCTATCCCACCACCCACCACCTAACTGAAGATGTACCTGACTAGACCCGACTGACTGTAATCTTATGTTATACATAAGTAACAAACATAAAACAAACACGTCCATTAAGAAGCATAATATTAGTCTCTAAAATTATACCTAATATTTGATTAAATTATAAGTTATATCTTATACAATATTAAGATTTATAAATTAGTCTCTAAAATTATACATAAATTCATAATGATCCAAATTTAATGGGTATTGAGTGGGCAGACAGATGCGGGGTGGGTGGATGTAGGGCGGGTAAGGTCTCAAACCCATCCCCGTCCACTACCTGCGACGGGTACCACTTTCTAAATCCACACCCGCCCAATAACCATTAAAGTTATACCCATCGCCACCCAAATTGAAACGAATACGGTACGAAATCTACGAAATTATACACGTTTGCCATCCTTACATTCATCCACTTCTCTCTACTTTTATAAAAAAAAAAAAAAATTGAATTATCACTAACTAATGAATGTAAATATTAGTTGTACTATTATTATAATATATACAATTAATTCATATAGTTACTCAATTTAATAACTATTTCTTTAATTTCATAAGACAAATTTATCATGATTTTGGATTAATAATGTTAGAAACTGTTGGTTGAACCCATCACATCAAATCAAACCTAACGGGAGAACAGTAAAAAATAAATAAATAAAAAGTGGATCACGTGCATGAGCTTCGTACCAAGTGGACCCCATGATGACAAAAATCCCCAAGCAGGATCCACCCACGTATCCGACTAGGGTCAAATCCAAGACCACCACGCAAAATCTCACCCAACGGGTCGTGGTCATCCCTCATTGGTTCAACAACACCCAACCGCCTTAAAAAACCTAAGCTCCTTCCGCTCTGACCACCACCTCCTCCATCGGACGCCACGTGGTACGTCCACTCTCCCAAATCCGGCCACGTCGTCCGAGGTAAACCGGTGCTACGTTACACAATTACGTAGAGCGGTTTAACCAAAATCCCAACCCTTTCCTGTGCGTGTTTATATATATGTGTGCATGTTAATTTGGGTGGATATACAATTGATATCAGTGTTTCAAACGAAGGACAAAGGATCTGTGAAAAATGGAAGGACAGCTTCGTAGAACGTCTTCCATCGAGTGCGAGCCCAGGACTTTGAGTATTGATCAAATCCAATGTGCTAGAGTACGTCTTTATACCTTTCCCCCATTATATTCTGATTGGATTGAGTTTTTAAACAGGAGGCTGCCATGTATGTGGTGAGTACTAGAACCATCGAAGAAGCCATGTCTATTTTCACTCAGGTAATAATTCTCATCTCTATTGATTAGGGTTAAATTAGATTTTATCATTTTAGAAAACACAAGTATTTTTATTTATTAAGGTTTTATGAGTATATAATATTTTAAATATGATATTTTTTTATTAAACTAAATGATTATAAAACAATACTTGTTTTAAATATTTTTCCGTCATTTGACAATAAATACTGAATTAATTTTGTTGTAGTTGCTTGATTTCAAACTCGAAATTTCTAAAAATAACAATAATTCATTTAATTATTGAGATAATTTAATTTATTTTTAAATATGATGAAGACTACGAATAGGGTATGAATATATATAGATCATCAGTTGAAAGCTCTACCAGAAAAGCTGTATATATAGGTACAACAACGTGATGCAAGTATATTTCGGTTACCCAAAACATGATATATTAAACAGTAATACAAATAATATGAATATAATATAAAATTAATAAAATATAAGATATTAGGAGGCGCTAAACAAAATATGATCACACAAATAATCTAATCAAATAAAATTAGTTAGTGAACGAATGCATTTACTATTTAGTGTCATTTAAATTTAAATATAGAAAGGTTGATTATCCTCTTGACATTAATGGTGTGTTTGGTTGGGAGAATGTGAGATTCCCATAGGAATGAAATCCACATTCTCCCGTTTGGTTGGTCGGAAATGTCATTCCCGGTAATCTTACATTACCAATATTGAATTTTTTGGGTATATTACCGGGAATGTCATTACCTCTCTTTCCTTAGGTATTGTTGGATTATCCGCGTTTTGGACTAAAATACCCTTAAATTTTTTTCTTTCAAAAATATTATTATTCTGTCATTGAATAATAAAAATTTTAGGAAAGTTAAATTACAAATTTATCCTTAAATTATTTTAGATTTACAAAAAAAAATTATAATTAAAATTTTATATAAAGATCAGGGGTTAAAATAAAATTTTACCATTTCATTAAACCTTTTTATATTTTTCAATTTTGTAAAAAAAATTATATAAATTTTATGAATTTAATTTTTTTAAAGAAAATATATAAATATTTTCCAACTTGTTAAAAAAAATATATAATAAGGACAATTTAGTCAAATATACATTACAATAATATTTTATTCCTTTAACCAAACACGGTAATCTTACATTCCTGCTAAACCAACCAAACACAAAATACAACATTCCCAGTAATCCTATTCCCTGTTAATATTTTATTCTCATTGGTAATTTTATATTCCGTGAACCAAACACACCCTAAGAGTAGGAAGGTGCACGAGTAATTTAGTATTATATAAAAACCAAATATAGTTTATTTAAATTTTTTATATATTGATTATTATAAATACTCGAATGAAATACAAATTATTTATATTCATGTATAAATTTTATTTTTGGTGAATTCAATAAAGCTCTTCATATATGAGCAATAATTATGATAGTTTCAATAGAAATGAAGTTTCTATTTTGGTGCATGAAGAGTTTTACACTAATTTAACCTTGGTATTATTTTCTATTTTTCAAAATAAAAAATTGTAAAAGCAACAAGTCAGTTTTTTAATTAGGAAAAAGTTGTTTTAAATTGTTATTTCCTTTTGTGGACCAGGTTGCTTGATTTTATGTTATAGGTGAAAAAAATTACTGTAATTGTTTGTATTATGAAGAATGGATGTATGACCATCAGTGCATTAATAGATTGGTATTGGGATGATGATGGTGATGACCAGGGATTAGAGCCAGTAGTATGCGCTGCAGGAGATAACATGGATACCACCATGGATCTCAATGGATTAGAGTACTTCCAAGGCCTACAGCTTCAAGGAATGCGCGACGTCGTTTCTGCTCCTTTCTAGATTAGCTTTTTGGTTTTTAGGTAAAATACACCACGACACTCGATTATTGTTGAGGTTACAAATAAGTCACTAAATTTCAATGATTCATTTGTAACGAATAGTTGAGTGTCCTTTGATAGAATTTACCCTTTTGTTTTTTTCTTCCTCCTGCCATAATAATACTTTTGTACAGAGGTTGGAATTCTGGTTTACAGTTTTTTTTTTTTTGTTGTTGTTGAAAAAGAGCGGGCTTCATTGAATGCCTCTTCTACCAACATAAAGATGGGTTCCTATAAGGGAAAATGAGTACCCAGAATCTATTAATCACAGAAAGTAACAATATCATTTTTTACATCGTTTATAAGGAAGGGCAATCCGAGTCAAAGAAGAAAGAATCATTTGAGTGCTCTTTTAGCCAAATTATGAGCCTTTCTATTCGCTTTCCTATGTACAAAAACAACTAAACAACATGCAAAAGAATAACAAAAACGATGAATAGTTTTCATATGAACGCCCAATGTAGATTCATCATCGTCGTCCTTATTTTGTTAACAATCATCGAGGAATCCAATTCAGACTACGTTTTGCCACTATTGAATTCTGGAGTCCAACTCAAAGACTACGTTCTGCCACTATTGAATTCTGGTTTACAATCAATCGTTATTTTTTTACCGGTGTACTCTCCCTCTAAAAGAAAAAGAAATACTATGCATGTGTGTGTGGCACGAATTGGTTGGACTATAATATAAAATATGACAGAGATCGTACATTTTGTTGAAAGAAGTAATCATACATAATAATAACAAAGCCATGTTTTATACAATCTCTTTGATGGCATCGGGAATGTACCCAAAACAGTTTCACAAGTCGCACGATCACGGGTAAAACCACCAACCAACCCTCCAAAATTGCTAAAGATCGGAAAAAAATTTACTTGGACCGCTAAAACCAGCTCCTTTGTTTGCAGTTTTAGTCTTTGTCCCTGCAAACAACACAAGTCACAATCACAGAGATCCCACAAGCTTCTAATGTTCTTCCAACTATATATCGATCATGAGGAAAGAAAATTGAATTCTGCATGGCTACAGTTAGTCCATGATTTGAGCAAATAATCTTATCATTGTCGAATCGAGAGGTATCATACCTTTCTTAGAATGAGGAGGATCATCATCCACGTCCATCTCATCACGATCACTATCTGAACTGGCATTTTGACTTTTTACAGTGTTTTCGGACCTTTGCAATATATCATTTAGATCCCACAACTGCATTGAATACATAAGTAAATTACAGTGCATCTTAATCAGATGTAATGAAGTCATCCACCAACTGCATTGAATAAACAAGTGCTAGGATTACAAGTCGGCGAATAACTTCCATACTGTTTATGATATGCCAACGAAAAGTTCTCCATGCAATCAATCGTTCATATTCCAGAGAATATAGCAGATAAATTTCTAGTTTTTATACAAGCAACCAAAGAGGGAGAGAAACACGCACCTTCAACATCTGATCATGTGTTATACTATCAAGAACTCTATCATGAGAAAAAGCTACAAACATAAAACAGGCAAGCATTTTCAGCAATCAGGGAGAAAGAGAAAAATTTGATTCCAGCAAGCAAAGCATAGAAAGAAACGACCAACTCTTTAAGAGAAAACAATACAAAGCTTAAACGACAGACCCAATATTGAATTAAGATCGTAGTTGGTTGTTCATCAGAACACCAATTCACACCACCATTTACACCATTACATAAAAGATGGTTAAAACAGCAAAGTAAAAGTCGCCTTTTTAAAACATGTCCAATGATCTTGTTAAATCTACCTAGAGGTAGAGAAGAGAACATGGTAAACAAAAACATTGATAAGAAAGGGGGAACGAAATGTACCAAGGCCCTCAACCGGATATTCTGAATGCTCTGCTATTGGTTCTCCTTAGGTAATATGCCTACTAGGCTGGGGAAATTCAAACAAATTTAAATCAATGTTAGAGAAGGCAGATCAAATCAAAATCTAAATAATTATCTCCTTCCATGCTCATGCCTTGCCTGATGAGTCCATTCTCAGTGCCTGCAATGAGTCTATCTTCATCAAGCTGACACAACAAATATTAAAATGTAAAATGATTATTGATTATTTCAAGCCAAATGGTGCTATAAGAATCTGTAAACCGGCTTACCTTCAACAAGGCCTCAACAGAATTTGGAGAAAGATCAACAAATCGATCACTAAACAACCAAATGTATTATTCAGAGAACAACATATGGTGACAACATCATAGAGAGATGTAGGGTGGAGGGAAGAGAAGAAAGAAATCCAAAATCATGGAGGATTCAGAGAAATAACAAGTGCTGTTTTGTAATGCACAATACCTGCAGTCCTTAAAAAATCCCCATGAATATAACAGCAAAGTTCCACTTTGTGATCCACAAATAACTTTCCCACCATTCTGACATTATAAAAGGTGTATTAAGATAAAGTTGGGACAAGGAAGGGAAAGCTAAATGATGAGAACTATATTCAAACACTCACAATAATGAGTTATTATAAGCAATGTCTTCCTTTATACTTTTAACAGAAAACACCATTACTCATGAATTAAAAGACATAATTTCTATTAGAAAGGAAAGAGTCTCTCATATCTTCAGAGGAAGCATAGTTGAGCAACCAAAATAATCCCAGAAATGAATTCCTCACAACCAATTTTGTTTCCTTCTATAAAATTTATTATCCAAAAGCCCTCGGATGAAAAAGGTTCATGCCATTTTTGCAATGAAATTGCCATAAAATCTATGCTGTGTATTCAACAACATACATGAGACCATAAGGAAATTATAAATATTGGCCAACAATTGCATGTTTTGTAAACAAAATGGAGCTATACATACACACTCACAGCTACAAATACATATACATATTGTGCCTTTACTCAAGCGCTTCTTTTGCACCTGAGCCGATATAAAGGTTCCAGCACCCAGGAGTGCAACTTGCACGCTTGACAACACCATCTAAATGGTAAGAGCAAAAGAAAAAGAAACTGGATCCCGCTGAATCCCACTTGAATATTTTCGAAGATGAACAAATGCCTCACATGCCCTAGGAATCTGATTCTCTATCTTTACAGGTCTGGATTCAAAAAAAATTACAGATGGGAAGTCTGTTTTTACTGTTGATACTTTATGTTCCAGATGATGAATAATTTCGGCTTGCATTTGGAGAGGTTGGCCCAACCATCCACCGCCTCTTACTATCATATGTGGGATGATAACTGAATATTTCAGACTATCTCATTGGTCTAACATAGGCCCAACCCCCACTCAACTGCCCACCTCTTTTTTATCCTTTTCCAATCTTTTTCTTTGTCTTCTTAAATGAAACTAAATTCAATTCATGTCTCCTTTAATCTAAATTAAACTACAGTCAGTAGGTTCAGTTATTATGCCATTTAATTAAGTTTAACTATGGTTAGATGAAAAATAAATAAATTTATATATGATTAAATGACTTACTTCAAAATAAAAATCTATCAATGAAATCACCAGCTAAATGGGTTCCCCTCCTCCCTCCCATGTCACTACGTTGGGATTTTTTATCTACAACCAATTTTGATGGAGGCTTTACATATTTAGTTATCCAAGAGGTTTAACCGACCTGATAATGAAAGGGTGATAGAAGAAATATAAAGTGAAGTAACATGGTTACAATGCAAATTTAGTAAAGATAGATTGGCTTTTAGAGAGGTTTGGCCAAAAGTACATTAGATGCAACCATAAAATATGATCATTGAACAATTAAATGAATGCACATACCTTCATAATTAGGGCTGTTCATTCGGTTAAAACGAACCGAACCGAACCAAATTAACCATAACCAAATTAACCGAACTTTTTTTTTCTTTAACCGTTAACCGAACCGAACTTTTTTTCGAAAATATTAACCGAACCGAATAAATTTCGGTTAATTCGGTTAATTTTCGAATTAACCGAATTTTTTTTAAAAATTTCTAATTTATATAAAAATTAAATGTTTTTAAATTCAAAAAAAGTTTATAATTAATTTAAATAATATATAATTATAAAATAAAAATATCAGATATATTTTTTAATTGATTAATATTAATTTAGGTTTAAAAGTTATTGGATTTTAAATTATTAATTGGGTTTTAAATGGTTTGGGCTTAGCCCATATGTTATATATAATATATTTAATATTTTTTAATTATAAAAAACAGTTTGCAATTAATTTAAATAATATATAATTATAAAATAAAAATTTTATATAATTTTTTTAATTAATTAATATTGATTTAGATTTAAAAGTTATTGTATCTTAAATTATTAATTGAGTTTTAAATGGTTTGGGTGAGCCCATATGTTATATATAATATATTTAATATTTAAAATTTAATTTCGGTTAATTAACCGAATTAACCGTTAACCGAATTATAAAAATTTTCTCAACCGTTAACCGACCGAACTAATTCGGTAACCGAACCGAATTAACCGAACTAATTCGGTTCAGTCGGTTAACCGAATTAGTTTGGTTATTTGAACACCCCTATTCATAATGACAACAGAAGTAAGCTTATCTTCATAAAATTCAGAGCGTGCTTGCACCAATGATCAATAGAGAAATGAACCTATAAAATTATTGTCCAAATCCATTCTGCAATCAGATGCATATACATTTTAGAAAGGTTCCAAGCAAAAGCTTACTTTATACGTTCGAAGATTGCAAACAGATAGAGTCCCATCTCCACTTAACAATGAAAATAAAGATACGTTAGGCATGGACAAAACCATTAGAAAGGACATTCATAGAGAGGAATGGCAGAGTAATCAAGAACAATGCAAAGAAGGAAAATGGAATAAATCAGATATACTGCAAAAGGAGAATAATGAAAGAAAGAATCATAGTCATTCCTATCCCTTTTTTTTAATTAAAATCTTCCCAATAAAACACTCATTTTTCTCTTAAACAAGCATCTTCTTGGGCTACAAATTATTTCAATTGGCATTTCTCTAGTATTTATCAATTCTAATTGGAAAGCAGCAGGAAACAAATTCTCTTGCAATTGCCAGTTGATCTAAATCAGAATAGTTTTTGAATGATCTCACTGAAGTTCAGAAATGGGAAATGTTTTAAGATGATTGCAAAGGCGTATACCTCGTTGTTAGCAATTTCATGGAATCAGGTACAAAATTCATATCTGAAATGTAGTCTTCATGATCTCTGTCGGGTATCCCATATCTGCAATGAAGGAGAGAAAATAGGCACATGTTTAACGTACCATTTGGACCACATAAAATCCTTAGAACCAAGTAATAGGGAACCTTAATACAGCCTTCATCATCTCCAGATGCAACAGTTGACTCTGTATGATTAATCAAACTATTTATGGCATTCCTGCACATCCAAATAAAATTGTATTTCAAACACCAGTTAAAAAAGCAAGAGACAATGTACACCAAATGAAAGTGAGAACAGACTCATGAGCATTCTCAAGACAAGCAATTATTGATCCGGTTTCAACATCCGCGGCTAGAATAGAGCAATCTTTAAAACCAGTCGCCACAGCTGAATCCACAAACACAATCAACCAGCATTAGAAAATAAATCCACCGAGAGAAATAATGATAACAAAAGAAAAGGCTTTACCTTGTCCACCATTGATAAACCGAACTGTTCTACAGGACTCAGCATGAGCTCGAAATTCCAAACATCTTAACAGCAAATATATTAAAGAGAGCTTTTAGAATTTGGCACTTCGCGCATGTCTTAACAGCAAATAAATTCAAGAAAGCCTTTAGGAATTCACCTCGAGAATAAATGGAAATTATTTCAAGAACAAAGATAGAATGTGTACCTTTTTAGCGAGGAATCATCTGCTCTATATTTGTATCTGTAAAAGAGAATCGAACTCAATTGATAATTTGTACATGAAATATTATATAAAATAGGGGAGAAACTGGAAAGAGAAATGAACAAATAAAAAAAAGGAGGGGGAGAGAGAGGAATACAGATGAAGGTTGCCGGTGATGAGAGAAACGGCGACGAGTTCTTTTGAAGGATGAAAATCGATGCCAAACGGGATTTCCCCTAAACCAGCCTCCATTACACCTCTGAACCGCTTCTTTTACTTGCACCTCCAATGGCAGCGCCATGGTTTAAGGTAGTACTCTTACACTTTTGTTTATATTAAAATATTAAAGGCAAAAGTTTAATGGTCCTTTCAAGGAAAAAAAAAAAACCAACGTGATCCCTTATCTTTTTTTCTATTTAATGTGACCCTCTAATTTTGATAAAAAGATTTAACGTGGATTTTAATTAATAATTTGTCTTTAACTGACCTTCCGTTTAATACTATTGTAAATTGAGTAAATTATATAATTTATCATTTAATTATTTTTTCTCTTTTATTTTAATCACTAAAATTTATTTAATCATAATAATTTATTTTTTTATTATTCAAAAAAATATATCCCAACCTCATCCCCTACCTCCAGCCCTCTCCCTCTACGATTCTCCAGCCCTCTCCTTCTACGATTCTCCAGCCCACCCCCACACAGCCTCCCTCCCTCACGTCTCCATTGAAGCGGCAAGACCATCGGAACCTTCTAGATGCATGCTCCGACTACAACATCATCTTCCTCGCCGAATCTCCTCTTATAGGACCTTCAGATTCGTCTCCGTAAGCTAAAAATCAAATCTCACTTTCACACTTAATAACTCCTCTTTTACACATGAGCCGACAAGCTGCCATAAAATTGTTCGATTAAAGTTCAAAGTTGACGGTCCTGGCAAGCTTACCACCGACAATGTTGTTGCTCGATTCGTAAGAAATTTCTTTCAAATTACGTATTTATCCTTTTATAACTTGTTTTAATTTTATTAATTGAAAATATTCAGTTGCGATTTATTCAGATATTCCAACGGTTTAATTGGAAATGATAAGTTTTCTTTCAGTCATGTTGGCCATGGAAAACAGGTCAACCAGGGGAGAGCTATTTACTTAATGGATTATGAGATTCTTAAGAGAAGATGGAAATAATTGGTAGTCTAAAGTGGATGCATTGAGAGCTATGATGCATGATCTTCAAGCTGCTGTGTCTTGCCGGTTCAATAGAGATGTGAGTGAGTGAGGTAGGCTGTGTGGGGATGGGGTGGGGAATCGTTGGTTTGGGGGGGGGGGGTGGAGGTAGGGGATAATGGTGGGATTAAATAAATTATAGTGAGTAAAATAGATGAGAGAAAATAGTTGAATGATAAAAGACATAATTTACCTAAATTATAATAGCATTAAACGAAAGATTGAGCTGCTTGATGTGTTACGTCAGTAAAATAACGACTCTGTCGATCAAAGACATAAAATATTGGTCAAATGATCACTTTAATTTTTTTTTTTTAAATTGGAGGGCCACAATAATTTTTTTAGAAAAGTTGAGAGTTCATTACTATTTTAATTTAAAAATTTTATTATTTATAAAATTTAAGAAAAAATTAATAAAACTATAAATTAAAAAATTATGTTATTTTCTTATAATTATCAAATTGATAGTTCATAATATAATTAAATAAAAGTTAATAGAGTCCTATTTCTAAATTAAAAACAGTATAAAAATTCAATATCATAAAATTAAAGTATAAGAATCAATCTTTTTATTAGTTTAAGGTGATTACAAATGGGCTAAAGATTTTTAATAATTCAACAATAAACGCTCAAATCTCTTATTGTAATTATTAATGTTCGTACTCAAAATCTCTAAAGATAATAATCATTATTTTAATCACCAAATTTTAAAATAATATAGAACACCTAACCTGTTTAATTTATTTTTTATTGAAATCAATTTTTTTATTGAGTTTGGTACGGTAGATATAAATATTCATTTAGATAAAAAATTTAAATTATCAACTTTAAATAGGGTTCATTATGATAGTCACCAAATCAGAAGTGCATGTTCATATTTGGTCGACTTAATTTTTTTCAATTCCATCACCAAAATTACAAAAGTTGATCATTTTGGTAATTCACTATTAAATATTGAATGAAATTATTGACGTAATAAATTTATTAAAATAGCAGTTGAATTAAGGCTAAACTGAATTTGTGGGCTAATAAGCACCTCAGTTTTGCTGGGAGACTGCAATTGATCCAAGTTGTCTTATTTAGCATGGCTAACTTTTGGTGTAGACAACTTATCCTGCCAAAAGGGGTTATTAGAACTAATGAGCAATTATGTTCTAGATTTTTTTTGGAAGGGGTCTGACTTGCCTGCAAAGGGTGCTCGTGTTTGCTGGTAAAAAATCTGTTTACCGAAGTCCGAGAGGGGGGGTCTGGGTGTACAAGATATTGGTGGCTTGGTTGCGGTCCTATGTAAATAGGAATGGTGACTTTTGGCAGTTGAATATTCCTACTAATATTGGCTGAAGCTTCAAGCGCCTTTTGAAAATTAGGCCTATGGTATTTCATCTCTTAGATGGCTCGGCTTGTGACCTTAATGCTAGACGCATTTGGGAAGATATGCGCATAAAGGCGCCCAAGGTCTCTTGGCAGCACTTGGTATGGTTTCCTGGGCGTATCCCTAAGCACAATGTCATCGTATGGATGGCCATGTTGGATAGGCTTCCTACACGGGTTAGGCTTCTAAATATGGGTATAAGTATTGATGATGATAAATGTTTACTGTGTGGCCTTGTGACTGAATCCAGAGAGCATTTGTTCTTCGATTGTAGCTTTGCTAAAGGTTTTTGGGCTACTGTCCTGGTGCTGTGTGGTTTGTCCCGAATGGTCAGTAGTTGGGATGGAGAAGTGGCTTGGGCGACCCATTGTTTCAAAGGTAAATCTCTCATAGTGAAAGTGTTCAAGCTTGCTTGGGCGGGTCACGTTTACTGCATTTGGAGGGAGAGGAACAACATGTTATTTAGGGGCAGTGCAAGATCGGTGGATGTTGTATTACAGGATATCAAGGATACTGTTCAGATTCGGATAATGGGGAAGCCAAACAATAGAGTTGATTCAAGAAATATTGCTCTCTGTACGAGTTGGGGTTTACCTTAAGCTGTGATTATTGGTTTATTGTTCCCTGTTACGTTAGTTGATTAGCTTTTGTTGGTTGCTATTGTAATTTGCTGTTTATTGTACGCTGTAATCTGTAGCAGGTCTCCTGTTTTCTTGGGTAATGAAATGGAATTATCCAAAAAAATAGCGGTTGAATGGTTAAATTGAATAAATTAAAAAATAAAAGGTTGAATTACAAAAACAAAAAAATTAATATTAAAAATAAAAAATTGAAGTTACATATGTATTTTGTAGTGATAGAGGAATATTTGGTTCAATTTTGGTCAAAATAGGCTTAAAACGAATCAAGAAACTAAATTGCAAAATTAAAAAAATGTTGTCAAATATAAGAAGTGAAACTACATAAGTATTCTATAATGATTTAAGGACATATGATTCAAATTTGATAAAAATAGAATTAAAATGGAGAATAAATTTAAAAACAAGGAAATCATAGACCAAATCACAAAATAGTCAAATTACTTAGTTAAAGATCAAAATGGTATCATTTAATTTTTAGATTTTTCGATTATTTGAACTTTAAAAATACGAATTAGACTCAAACTCAAAATTTAAAATAAATAAATAAATTTTTTAGTTGAATCGGATTTTTCTCACTATTAATAGTGTGTGTTGTTTTTTACAATAACCAAACTAATGAATGAAAAAATGGAAAAAAATTAGAGAAATTAAGAAGTGATAGAGATAAAATAATTGAGATGAGTTGCAAGGAATCCATCTTGGATTTGAGAAAAAGGAGATTTTGGGAAGGAAGGACTTAATCTATAATTTTTTATTAATTAATCTATAGATTTATACAACTTTTAATTGTTTTTATTGAATGAAAAGTTTGTATAATGTGAAAATATTTGTCTTAGTATGTGATTTAAAATTAAAAAAATTGATAATGTATCATCAAGTCTAAAGAAATATCTATTTTTTTTAAATCTTAATTTGGATGTGTAACATCCTAAATCTGATTTATACACTACAACAAAAGTGTTATGTAGCGGCGTTTTTAGCGGCGTTTACAGAGTAAACGCCACAAAATTTAAGCATATAGCGGCGTTTACAATACAAACGCAAAAAAGTGATACTTTAGCGGTGTTTTTCAACAAACGCCACAATAGAGTGGTAATGTAGCGGTTTATAGCACAAACACCTCAATAGAGTTGTTTATAGAGGCATTTTTCAACAAACGCCTCAATATAGTAGTAATTTAGCGGTGTTTTTATACAAATACTATAATAGGGTTGTTTATAATGGCGTTTGTCCAACAAGCGACGCTATAGAGTAGTAATTTAGTGGTGTTTATCAAACAAACGCCACAATAGAGTTGTATATAGTGGCGTTTGTGCAAAAAACGCCGCAAAAAATATACTATAGTCGCGTTTGTTTAAAAAATGCCGCCAAAGGGTCAATATATGCTCCACCCTTTTCTCCTCCCCCATCCCTAAAATCATTTCAACGCTGCTTCCCTAAAAGGGATTTCTCTGGTACAACAAAGACCCTCACACGATTCCAGGTGTCGTCGTCTTCTGTCTATCCTGGTGACCAAATCGACCCTCTCACCGGCGAACAGTTATCTCACTATTGCACGGTTTGATCCCTTCTCTCACTACTGAACTTTTTCATTTATTTTTTGTTGGTATTCTGAAAATGGGGAAAACCCAAAAAGCTAACGTAATTGTAGACACCCGTTTTTGTCCGGATCTAAAAAAACATTTTATCGTATAATTATTATTTTTTTATATTATTATTATTATTGTTAATAATATTTTTATTTTTTAATTTTACAGGCCCCATGTACAACCCCACTACCCCACCATTGTCTCAACCAAAAAAACAACCCACTAAACCACCATCCAATTAGTTACCAACTCCACCCCACGTCTCAACTAAAACCACGCACGTTTCCTTCTTTTTCTCTCAAAAAATGAAAGTGGGAATCTTTATCGGGGGCCTGCCTATTTATTTAAAGGATTTTTAGATTTGGAGGGGGGGAGGAAAAACACAAAAGGAGGGCTCTCGAAGAGGTCGACTTTAATGTTTCTTCCAACCACCCACTCCTTTTAATTTCCCATTTACAAATGGAAAGCCCTGTACTCATAAACTAAGAAAGTAAATGGAGGAGTCAAGGAATGGGGATTGTGAAGAGTGCAACAAGAATGCGTCAAAATACAGGCGCCCAGGTTGTTGCCTTTGCACCTGCAGCCTCCCTTGCGTTAACGCTCACAAGCAACGCACTAGCTACCATGGCAAAAAGAACATCATTGCCTTTGTTCCTCTCTAAATTCGACGATAATCTTCTCATCTCAGGAATAATTGCATTTTATGGACTATTGAATGGCGGTTTCACTCTACGGATGTTGTTTTACTTGACCATGGTGTACATAAAGATACAAGCCTCTGCTCATTAATGGAAAACTATCTCCAACCTAGGCCCTGGAATCGTTCTATAAGGCGGTTCTGCGAAGTGTAGCTCGATTGCCTCAAGTATTTTATTTGAAAAATACACCAAGGTATATCACCCTTTTGGGGGCTCGACGCAAAGGCCACCACACAGAAACAACGGCAATACCCGAATCAGAACCGATGGGGAAGGTTTCACGGCGAACCGATGCTGCCCAGCCTCGATCCAAGCCAGTTGTGCTTTCTCGGAGAAGATACGCCTTACCACGGCCACGAATAGCTGAGCACAGCGGCGTAAGAGACGTGTTTGCTAGCCCAAAGCTCGCGTGTTTGTTGATAACACGCTACAACGACGATGGCTGCAAACAGGGTTGCGAAGAGGAATGGCCAGCGAACCTACATTGATGATGAATGGCGGCGCGACGACCTGAAAACTCCATGAACGACGCTGCTAGGGTCTGAAGCGAGAGACCGAAAGAAGGGAGGACCGTCACACTTGTGGGTTTTTAATTTGGGGAACAACTGCAAGCTGTAAGTTAAGTTGAGATATCTTATTGTGGGGCCATGTTTTAAAAGCCAGAGCCATTTGTTTTCATGTAACCCACGTGCACTTGAGGTTGTTAAATACTAAACATTGGTAAAATCCTTCAATTTTTGAACATATTCATTTTGGTCCTTTTTTATTTTTATTTTTATTTTTATTTTTTATTTTTCTTTTTTATTAACTTTTATTTATCATTGTTATCTATTTTATTTCTTTTATTATTATTATTATTATTATTATTATTATTATTATTATATTAACATTTTTTTCATATTCATTTTTATTTTTATTTTACAATCTAACAATATTTTCGACTTTAGGGATACTTTTCAACCAATCAAAGGTAAGTAACTCGAATTGATTTTTTTTTTAATTTTGATTTAAATTCTTAATTTTCACAATTAAAGACAATTGATAAATTAATTGGTACCGAAAGGGCAGTTCAAGGGTGCTAATCCTTCCTTGACTGTAACCGACTCTCGAACCCGACACGTTTCTGGTACAACGCAGATCAGGTAAGATGGTGTCCGACCTACCTAAATGTTTTTAAAATGGTCGGTGGCGACTCTAACCCAATTATTCAAGTCGAAGCCCAATTCCGGGGCCCAACCGAAAGATGGCTGCGACAGCTTGGCGACTCTGTTGGGGACATGTAAGTGAGTCAGGCCAGAATTAATTTTCCGTTGTCTTTTTATGCGAAATTTGTAAATTTAAATTTATTTATTCCAATTATTTACCTTTGATTATTTTTCAAATAAATAGTTGTACTAACGTTTGTTCAATGATTTCAGATTTTTCAAAATTTTCATCTTTGGCTCTATACCCGAGCTCTAAACCCTTTTAAGTGGGGGTGAAAGCGACGCATTCGTGTGAATTTATTCACCGCATATGCCTAGCAAGTAGCCTTCGGGATTCATATACCTTATGTCTTCGTGTGAATTTATTCACCGTGCGGGCATAAGGGAATATTTCCTCTCGAGTTTAACTTAGTCCACACAAGCTTGTAATGGGCTTAGGACTAAGGGTTTGACAAGCCCAAGGGGGCACCAGCAAGGAGAACTCGAGTACCTTTTTAGAACCTAAATCGGGAGATTATGGAGAACTAGAGCCCACCCCGAAACCTCATTCCAAACCCTAGGCTGCTTTGATTTTATTTCATGCTTTACTTTCTGTTCAAAGCATGTGAACTAGAAATGTATGCGGTTAGGACTAGTTCAAAATCAACATGCGGGATAGAGATCATGTCCGGGTAGGAATAATAAGCCTGTGGGGTAGATATCATGTGGGGTAAGACTTTTCATTTTCATCATTTTTTTTATTATTATCATCATTATCTCACTAACTTTTTTTCCTCCTTTCATTTTTATTCTTTGGCATTTTTTTTATCATTCGCATCATTAAATCGAGGTGTTGATCCACCAAAATTGTGTTTGCTAAACGTAAATAATCTGCATTAATGGACAAAGGAGTTATAATACAAAGAGATAAAAAGCTCAGAAGTCCAACCGTGATCAAAGAATACTCAGAGGCAAAGGTTGCACGGGCAAGACGAGGAAATGGTTACTGACCCGGAGAGTCCTTTCGAAAATTACGAGAACAAGATGGTGAAACCCTAGCTAAGCCGGAGAACATCATTGATGAATTCCAAAAACAAGTCGACAAACTTCGGATGGAGGGCTCCAATGCCACTTTCGTTTGGAACGAGCTCGACATAGAGTGAAGGCCGGAGATGCAGTCATTCGAGACCTTTTTTGCGGCAAGCAACTCATCACAAGTTTAGCCAAAGGAGCCAGAATGGTTTGACAGGATATTCAACCGGTGAAAAAGCGGAAGACGAATCAACTTTCCCAAGGTTGTGCGGGATCTATACCATCAAAGAGTTTTTTGTCTCTTCAGACGTAACATTCTTGTCCCCAAAAAGGATTATTCAGAATAATAGGAACATTTTTCGGATCAATGCCTCGGACATTTCATGCTTCATGCATTTAAACATTTTGCATTTTGTTCATTTCTTTACATTCACATTAACTATCTTCACATGATT